GGGGCAATAGGTCATTTTGAGGGAGTCGGGCTTTCGCTCACAACTCATTAAAGCAGCCTCCAGCCAAACTCGGGGCTGGCCAGATTGCTCAGGAGATTCGGCAGGATGTCAAACACAGAAGAAACTTGAGCTGATTCTTGTCCTGCACTGGAGCAGCAGTGCCAAGAGACGGCTTTTAGCTAATTAAAAGAAGGAGAGGGGGAGAGTCACGTGGACACGGCCGGCAGGTCGATGGGTTTCAAAGAAACCTCTCCCCCCCCCAGACACACACACAGTCTGATAAAGCAAGTGCTCTTCCGTCAAAGGGGTCTACACCAGAAAGGAGGGACAGAGCAGCCCGGTCCCTACCGATTCGGAATTCAAACCGCGCTAACACAGAAGCCACCAGTCACAGCTTCCTGGTTGTGAAAGGAACAGGCCCAGTTCACCGATCACTCCGTGCAGATGCAGAAACTGAGCATCCTCACAATCGAAGCACTGCCTTTTTTTAAAAAAAAAGAGGAAAAGAGGTATCTAGTCCCTATGGGTTTTGAAGACAGCCTTGGAAGCGTAGGACCTACATGTGGCAGGTGCTGGCAATACCCAGCACAATCTAAGAAGCTGGAGGAACCGGCTGCACGTAGATTCTCTCGAGGCTGCCTCATGGAACTCTTCATCCTTCCCAGAGAGCCAGTCTGGTGTAGTGGTTAAGTGTGCAGACTCTAATCTGGGAGAACCGGGTTTGATTCCCCACTCCTCCACTTGCACCTGCTGATGTGACTTTGGGTCAGTCACAAGCTCTGGCACAGCTGTTCCTGAAAGAGCAGTTTGTGTCAGAGTTCTCTCAGCCCCACCTACCTCACAGGGTGTCTGTTGTGGGGAGGGGAAGGGAAAGGAGTTTGTAAGCCACTCTGAGACTCCAAGTGAAGGGCGGGGTATAAATCCAATCTCTTCTTCTTCTTCCCCGAGAAGAAGAATCTATGTGCCAAATAAAGCAAGACCGTGCACAAAGAAGCAACTCCAAAGCCTAGCTTTTCACGGCACAGATTTTCAAAGTGTCTGAACACAGAGCATTAGGTAACGTTAGGAATCACTCTCCATGCCCTGAGCACCGCTTTCCCGGGGAGGGGCTGTGGCTCAGTGGCAGAGCATCTGCTCAGCATGCAGAAGGTCCCAGGTTCAATCCCTGAGATCTCCAGTTAAAAGAAAGATCAGATAGCAGGTGACCGGAAAGACCAGTGACTGGAAAGAGCAGTGGAACAGACTGCCTCGGGAGGTGGTGGATGCCCCTTCGCTGGACGTTTTCAAGCGGAGGCTGGATGACCATCTTTCGGGTATGTGGTAGGGCTCTCTTTCAACTATGCTCCTGCAGAGTGCAGGGGGTTGGACTAGATGCCCTACAGTGCCCAATGGACTAGATGCCCTTCCAACTCTAACATTCTCTGATTCTATGACCTCTACCTGAAACCCCAAAGAGCCACTGCCAGTCAGAGTACACAACACTGTACACCTAACTGAACTTCTCAACCAACCTATGGAAGTCAGTCGACCAGGCTGAGTGGTATGAAGTAGGGCAGATTAATTTTAAGAGGCACCAGCTCTCTGGCTCGTGTGCCAATCACATTCCCGAAGCCAAAAAAACCCCCCACAGAACTGGGGTAGGGGAAAGATTGAATGTTTCTAGTCACAGTGCCAAATCTGTTTGGAACTTGCTTCCACATTTTAGGCACTAGGTCTGCACAGAGCTCCCCACATTTGGCACAGCTGCTGCGTTTTCCTAACAGCATGTCAGAAATTCAACAGATATAGACATCGCCATTCATGCATTTCCTGGCTTGGAAAACACGCCTCTGTTAAATGTCTGCCGTTTCAAGGAAAAGAATAAAGTGTGACAAGATGAAGCTCTTAAACGTTTGCATTCCGTTTCCCAGCCTTCAAGGTGATCTTGCTTTCCCCCTAATCCAGTAATGGTCATTTGGGCTACTGCTTATCAGCGAGATCTGTCTCTCTGGTCCCAGGCTAAGGATCCTGCTAAATGTTAACCAGTCTGCAATCAGATTACACCCATGTTCACCCAAGAAACAAATAAAGTTATTCCAAAACAGCTCACACTTTACTGTTGCAACTTCAAGAGTAGCAGGAGGGTGCACAAAGCAAAACAGAACAGAAGCTCAGTGGCATCTTAAAAACTAAAAGCACTTAAAAAGGGGACAGAGTGGTACAACCATACAAGGCATTAACAGGCCGGAGAATACAACAGGGTCTAGAAGAAAGACAGCCGCCCTGACCTGGGTAGCCCCGACTGGCCCAATTCCATCAGATCTCAGAAGCTAAGCAGGGTCAGCCCCAGCTAGTACTTGGATGAGAGACCACCGAGGAAGTCCAGGGTCGCTGTGCAGAGGCTGGCCATGGCAAACCACCTCTGAACGTCTCTTGCTTTGAAAACCAGGGGTCATTTCCTGCAGGAGCGCACAGGAGTGGAGCTCCGGCAGTAAAGAGCCCAGGGGGCGGGCACATGCAACAAGCCCCACCCCCTGCTCCCAGCAGCCCTCAGTCAGAGCAAGAAGCAGCCAGGTAAGTTGCAGAGCTCCCCCGGCCCCCTGGCCCAAAACAGTTCAGTGGCACCTTTAAGACCAAGTTTTATTCAGGTACAAGCTCTCCCTCCTCTGAGGGTAGATCTGCACGTCCCCCCCCCCCCAATAGCTAGCAATCCAAAACAGTCCAGTGGAACCTCAGCGGTGGGTGTTGCCTTCTGACACACTTCCAGTGATGTCAGGGGGTGTGGCATATGCAAATAAGTTATGCTAATGAGTTATGCTAATGAGCTCCTGCACCTCTTTTTCTACGAAATGACCCCTGTTGAAAACTATGGGGTCACCATAAGTTGGCTGCAACTCGACGGCACTTTCCACTACTGGCAGACAGCCCCCACAAACCACTCTCTGCCCCCTATTCCATTCGCAACACCCAGACCTGCAGCATGCCACAGACCAAGTGGAGACACATCATTGCCCGAAGTGCACCAGATGAAATATGCCTGCTGGTGGGGGTGGGGGGGGATGAAGAAGAGAGAAGAGATTGGATTTATACCCCACCCTTCACTACCCGAAGGAGTCTCAGAGCGGCTTACAAACTCCTTTCCCTTCCCTTCCCCTCCCCACAACAGACACCCTGCGAGGTAGGCGGGGCTGAGAGAGCTCTGACGCAAACTGCTCTTTTTTCAAGAACAGCTGTGCCAGAACTATGGCTTGCCCAAGGTCATCCAGCCAGGTGCAAGTGGAGGAGCGGGGAATCAAACCCGGTTCTCACAGATCAGAGTCCGCGCACTTAACCACTACACCAAACTGGTGTAAATAAACAGAAGAGCCCAAGGAGAACCTAGGCGAAAGCTTCTTCTAGCCCCTGAACTAGACAGATTCCTCTCCCACTGTCTACAATGTCAAGCGATGGCTTGGACGTGTAAACAGGCCGCTGTGGATAGAATAAGAGGGCCAGAATTCTCAAGGAGTAGCAAACTTGCATGCCGAGCCCCGTGTGAACCCGGCCGGGAGCCAAGCGCGTGGACTGAATTCATTCCATCGAAGAAGACTGCAGGAGTATCAAGGGCAGGTGACGTCCCGCATCCCTTTCTGATGCTCATTCAAACAGGTAAAGGTGTCGCCTAGTGATGAACTCACACGTGGGAACCGGTCGCAGCGCCAAACAAACGCCATCCTCCATTCCCTCAGAAATGTGATGGAACAGATCTAGGTCAACCCCCCAGGAAAGCGCACCCCTTCCCACACCGCCGAGACCAAGCCCAAACCTCCAGAACTGGAACGCAGCCCACTGCAGAAATGCAGTCTTGGGGTTTGAAAGCCTCAAAGTCTCCCCAGCGAGAGGAAGCTCTCAGACAGAGTGAGATTTATGCAGCTCAAGATGCCAAAGGAACTTAATAGATCTGGAATCTTCAAAGACAGAAGACAGGGGCTTTCATTCAGTCCCTGAAGTTGCTTTTTCTCAAGCATGTGCCCCGTGGACCATCTCATGTTGGCATGCTGTGAACCAGGCTCGTAGCGACAGTGGGGCATCTCGGGGCCCGCCCCCCCCCGACTTGCTGCCAATGCCCCCGACTCCCCATCCAGCTCAGGCCCCCCAACTTCCAATGTTTTATTTTTTTTGTGGTGCTCCCTGGGGGTGTCTGTGTGGGGTGCCCTCCCAACTTATTTAAAGGCCCAAATTAAAAAATCCTGGCTACAGGCTTGCTGTGAACTCTCTGAGCCACAACTAGCCAGGGCTTGGCACTCTGGCAAGTTTTCACTGCCAAGGCTGGGGAGAGGCTACAAATCAAGGCAAGAGGGACTCTGAGCATGTGCAAAGAGCTGAGTGACCCCCACAATCCCCTACTTATCTAGGATTGGGAAGTGGGCTTCCAAGCAAGAAGATACCACTTCTGAGTAGGCACTTGCTGAGTTTTGAGATTTAAACATTAAGAAAGCAGGATCCAACTGGGGAAAATGTCACCTGTGAGCATATATAACTTAAACTCTTAAATGAGGGGGGGGGGGCAGACCTGATATATTCATGAACCAGGCAATGCTCCCTCTAAGCTGTGGAGTCTGGTGAGCAAAAATCCTACTTTGTGAGCTACTGGCATGAAAGTTGTGATTGCTCTGGAGCCACCCATCCTTCCTGAGCGGAGACAAAAATGTGTGAGCCGGAGGCTAAAAAACTGTGACCTAGCTCACACGAACTCAGCTTAGAGGGAACAGTGGAACCAGGTATTGCTGTCACCCCTTCTCAGACATGGGGGGGAAGGACCCCCCAAAAGAAGATGGCCAATCAGGAGAGAGGACAGAAAGTCCCTTTCCCCCCACGGAATTCACTTCGGGGACTCCGCGTCACAAGACGTCAAGGAGAGGCCACCGGCTTCAGCCCAAGGCTCGACCCGCTCACGTCGGACGGATCCGTCTAGCGAAAGGGAGCCTCCACGTCCCGCGGCAGTCTACCTCCGCGCGCCAGGCGCTGCCCGGGGTCCCTACCTGCCGAGGAGGCGTCTTCGCGGTCCGAGCTGCCGCTGGTGGTCCCGTCGCTGCCGCCCCCTGGCTCGGGGCCGCTGCTGCAGCCGGCCGACTCCCGCTCTCCGGAGGGGCGCTGGGGACGGCTGCGAGCTGCGGGAGGCGACGCGGCCGCCCGGTCCCCGCGCCG